AAAGGTATCCCAACAAGTATGCCACTAGTTGATCTCTTTATCAACCTATATTTCCTATGAAAGACTGAGGTCCATTCAGTACTGAACTTTTACACAGAAACAGGTTTATTGATTACATGTTGTTTTAGGAATAGTTCTTAAGCACATTCTTAAAGTTACACCAAGCTTCAGTATTTTACTTTAACCTCTTCTATCTTAATTAATACAGGTCACACTCTGACAAATCACTCCTTAAACACTCTCTCTCTGTCACAAACCCCCAAACTCTTTATCTCCTCTCTGTCTCTGACTGAACTAACTAGACTCTGACTCACCCCTCCCTTCTAGTTTCTCTGGCTCTACCTCCCAACAGCTTTCATTGGTGCATGCCGATAATCTTCTACCTGAACCAAAGCACGGTGATCACTACAGTAGCATACACACCTTATAGATGATCAGAGGTATTATGAAATGTTGGACCATTTGAGGCCATCTTGCTCTGGCAGAGAGGGTAGCTGCATTTTGATTTACAAGGTCATTCTTGATTCTTCTGTGTTATATATTTGTTTTACTTTTTTAATCTGTAAACTGGCCTTGGCTATGATCTTGTAAATTCCTTTGTAATCCAGCTAGTGCATCAGCTGCACTTGTAAAAAGATTTATGGAACAGTAAAACTGTATGTGATGAAGCCATAAAAAGATTTATGTACTGGCAAAGCACCAATGACTTCATTGTAGGTTTCACTGCTGGGAACAATAGAAGAGAATTTGGGATGGAGCATTGTCCAAACATCAGCTTTTCCCATTCATATCTAGTCTACAATCCTATGCTCCCAGGAATGTGTCTCAAGGGCCACGAGAAGGACCATCTCTTACTTTCCAAGGCCTTCAGTGATGCCTGATGATGCTTCAGCCTCAGAAAGTCCATCCCCTTTCTCCGTCCTATTGATCACAGAGGATCTGCCCCTTCCAAGGATCAGGCTAGCCTTGCCCTTGCTATCCCAGCTTTTGCCCAAAGAGAGCTAAATCTGAAAGGGAGAACAGTCTCAGTATCAACAAGTGACCAAGAACCCTGATTTTCCAGGTTTTTTGACTGGGTGGAAAATCCTGAGACTGCTCCCCTTTTCAGATTTAGCTTTTCACCTGTGATAATTAGGTTGCAAGAGTGGTGAGGCTAGCCTGCTCCCTTTCTGCACAAGTTGAAATTAACTCTTTTATTGAACATCTAAATGTGGCTATAGGAAATCTGATACAAGCAACTGTGGTCACAGTGAGAGTAGCAGATAAATCTATGATTTGATGGACAGATAGAGAACTGTTGCTGGTTTAATGGTTGCTAGCACAAGGAAAGAATGAGCAAACCAATTCCAGGAAAAGACGAGATAAACAGAATGGAAGATGTTTGTTGGGGAAAGGGGAAGAGACTATAAAAGTGAGTAGGAAACTCAGAGCAATAAGGCTGACTTTGGTGCCCACTCACAAAATAAGAGCATTATCATTTTTAGGAGTGTTCTCTGAATATGACCAAATTCCAAAGTGAACTGAGTTAAAATCCAGAGAGATTCAGGAGATGGCCAAATCAATCTGGGATTCAGAAAGAGTCCAAGCTGAATTAGTTTTCTGAATCACTGCACCTGGGCTCAAAATGAATCCTGTGGTTGGTGCACACACCACCTACTGTATTTTTCCATGTATAAGATGCCCCCCTTTTCTAACCCCAAATTAAGAAATTTTAACTTAGCTTTGAGTATTCAGCCTTTGGGCTCAGAACACTTGGACATTACAAGTCCCTGTTGAATCTGAGTACTGCCTACAGGCTCGAACTCCAATGAGGTGTGTTCCAGTTGGTCTGTACAGCATCAAACATAAGTTACATAGGGCTCCTGATTGGAAGAAGCTAAGTCTCCTGACTGTAGGAAGCTAAGCCTCATGATTGAAGGAAGCCTGTTTGCAGAGACAAGGTATGGGCTGTTTTGTTCTCTCCTCAGCTTACTTCCATGTATAAAACGACCCTCAATGTTTAGTCTAAAGAGTTTAGACAAAAGTATCACCTTATACACTGAAAAATACGGTACATTTCAGTAAAGCTACTGTGTAAAAACATGGTAAATCTGGGGGCAAGAACACAATACAGTGGTGCCTCAACTTACGAATGTCCCGACTTACGACCATTTCGAGTTATGACCAGCTCCAGCTCCAAAATTTTGCTTCGACTTGTGGCCTGAGCTTCCAGTTACGATCAAAAAAAGGCAGGGAAAAAGGGTGGGAAATTCAAATTGCTAACTGTTGGTAGGCGAAGAGGCTGCTTCTTCGTAGCTCTTTCGCCCCAGCAGTTAGAGTGAGTGCGTTCAGAGGAGGCTTGGGAATGCCTGCTAAGGTAAGGTGCTGCTTTTTGCTCTTTAAAAACTGTTCTGGGTGGGTTTTGCAGGGTGGGTTGGAGGGGTTATGTTTCTGTGCTGTGTTGTTTTTTTGTTGTTGTTTTTTGCAGCCCCAGCATGGGGCTTGCTCCATTGTTTATTTTTGGCTTTGTTTTGTTTTTAAGCCACAACTCCTTCAGGGTTTGCTCCATGGTTTATTTTTTTATTTATTTGTTTTTGCAGCTCCAGCGCATTCCTATGGGGCTCCCTCCATTGTTGTTTTTTTAAGCCCTAGAGCCTAGGGGCTTGCTCTGTTTATTTTTGGGGCTTGCTCTCTTTATTTTGGGGTTTATTTGTTTTGTTTCGATTTTTTTTTTTTTTGCATCCCCGGAGCATTCCTATGGGACTTGCAGTATTTTATTTTTATTTTATTTTGGGGGTTATTTTTTTCCCCAGCTGGAATGGATTACTCACGTTCCAATGCGTTTCAATGGCAAATGGTGCTTCGACTTATAACCATTTCAAGTTATGTCCATCTTCTGGAGTGGATTATGGTTGTAAATTGAGGCACCACTGTACTGTGTTCCTTTCTCGTTCCTTCCTTGTTTTTATACTCCTCTCCATTGTTAGTTAATTTTTTTTTGTTCCTGTGGATATGCTTAATCCTCATTGGGTGTTCAGGTGAATGACATTCTTTTATGCCCCTCCTTTCCAGAGCCATTCCTGCACATTATGGAATATCTTTGGAGATCTCTATTTTCCACTTATCGGTTTTCCCTGAAAGAGTGGATAATACAGAGAACAGAACAAGAAATGGGAAAAAAGTAAGGGAGGTAACAATTCAGTAAATGGAAGTGAGTCAGTGGGTAAGCCCAAGGTGCATGCCCATCCTTCCATCATTTAATTGAGTTCTGTTTCTTGCAGAGCTTATTAAAGTACAGCTCTGAAAATCTCCCAGTCAGCATGACCAGAAGTCATACTGTCTTCCAGATTTTGTGAGCGGTAGTTGAAAAACTGAATTTTCTGCTTATGAGTTGGCATCCTCTGCTTAGACACGGAGTATGTAATATATGTATTGTCTGCCTCGTACTGTTCTCTGTCCTTGGACATCTGTTACATCTTTTGTACAATGTGGTTCCCTGTCAGGGATACATCAACACTCTTATCAGTTCTTAAAACGGGAGTAGTATAATAGCACCCTTTGAGACTGGTTAAAAAGGCCCTAGAGGGCTATACTGGAGTTTAGGAGGTCATGAGACTCTCAGTTCCCTTCACCAGTGCCTCACTACAAACAAGAAACATACATATCACCTTTATAACAGGTGGCACCACAGTGTTTTGTGTCAAGGTCTGCCGAGCTTAATCTTAAAATGTTATCTTGCACAGCAGTCGACTAGCCTTTGTTAGATTCATTTATTTCACTGCTTAATGTACACCAGCTGGGAGGAAGTGCGTCCACCAATATGATTTGTGTTTCTGAGTGTGAGATCACTCTTAAAATTTAATGAGTGAAATAATGAGGTTTCTGCCACACTATATTCCTGCAGGCAACCTCCCAAACTCTTTCCAGTACCCTGCACATTCCTAGTCATGTCTGGAAGTTTGGCAGCCTACCATATGGGGTCTTAGTGAAGCTTTTAGGAGGCAGAAGTAAACCTGAGAATATTTATTACAGAGGATATATTTTATCATTAGGATGTTCACTTGTTTGTAATTGCTGCATTCTGTCATTTTAGTAGCAGCCACAAAACTATCAAAGGTATGTGGAGTAAATAAAAATGGGCTAAATTATGCATGAGCAGAAGCATCATAACTTGCCACCATCTTTTGCCATAAAACCAGAAAATTAGTTTGGGTTTGAAACTTTGCTCTAGTGGTTTGAATATATACCATTTAAATGAGAGAAGACTTGAATCAACTGGAAAACTTCCAGAATGTCAAATAGCTTAACAATTCCATGTCTCTTAGGTCTTTCATCGGTTCTGTATGTGCTCCTTCCTTTGGGAGGACACTGTGATGATCTCCTGATTGAATTTTCTTGATTTTCCTGTTCGTTTGTACTTTCTGTTTTGCTTTTGATTTCTGAGATGACTGTTTCTAGCGTATTTTTCTTCATTCTTCCCTCTCTTGCCTTTCTCACTTTCTCCTCCTGACTCATTTCTCTTCTCAGCTTGCTGCTGTTCTCTTTGATTATTATTTTTGCTCTGCATTTGCTGCTCTGCCATAGCCACCTGGCATAACCCTTGCAATCAGACCAATGCAGAAAAGGTGTCAGATTGATAAATATTGATCCTTACCAACAGTTCTTTTCCTTGACTTCCCTCCTAATGGATTTTGTACCACTTCAATGAATAATAGTATGCACCCGCTTTCTGGGTGCAACCCATGGCCTGCTCCCAAGCTGCCAGTTATAACTCACATGGTCTATATTTCAAGGAGAATGGCAAGCGCAAAGATAATGTGGAGGAAGTAGAGAATACTATAAGAGGAGGAATGAAGCAAGAGGAACAGTGGAGCAGAGAGAAAAATATTTTCCTGCAGAGAGAGGGAAAGAAGAAGGGTTTGGAGAGACATACTGTTAATCCCTCTTCTCAGAGATGAATATGATTTTTTTTCTCTCTCTCCCTTTTTTGTCCCTCATTTTGTCTTCTCTCAAATGAGAAGGCTCCCCAGGAATGAAGATCTACATTGATCCTTTTACGTATGAGGACCCCAATGAAGCTGTCCGCGAGTTTGCCAAGGAGATTGATGTGTCATTCGTGAAGATTGAAGAAGTCATTGGAGCAGGTGTGACTCATTTCCCACTGGGCGGGTGCTCAGTACCATTCCCCCCCTTCTTCTTCCCCTCCTTGCTCCTCCTTCCTTTCCTTCCTTTCTTCCTTCCTCTGATACCTGGGCTCGTCCAGTGCAGTTAGCAGAGCAGTGGCACTTCTCTCCTGAAAGCCTAACTGAATCTCCTTCTGTGGTTTCAGAGATGGTGCTTAATTAATTGACACACTTTAATACTTTGTTGCATTCCCTGATTTAATTAACAATAAATAGGTACCTAGTTTATAGCATCTCTTTATCTGCTTTAAGAGGAATCTCACTTTTTAAAAGCTGTTAGTTAATTTCACTTGAGGTGCCTGCCGTTAACTTAAAAATTAAAAGTTACTCAAAACCAGTCATTGCATAAAATGACTCTATGAAACCAGTGAGTTTATGTTCCAAATAGTCCTATTTTACATAAATCATTGCCTTTGTTCTCTTAAACTGCAGTCCTGTAGTCCCTGAGATAATGTACCAAGAATCATCAGATTGATCAGATCTCCCCTTCTGAGGTCAGAGAGAGACAAAATCCATCCTTGGAAGAGGAAATCAGACCTTTGATTGCCACCAGCACTTCATTGCCTACAGAAATCTCTATGGCTGGCACCTTACTATACAGCAGCAGGTGACCCAGAAAGCACAGTTTGCTAGTGAAGAGGGGAGGTGTGGAAGGCACTATTTTCTTTTTGATCCACCATACTCACACTTAATCACAGCAGCCATGTAAGAAAGGACCTTGCAGGTTACAATGGGTCATAGATAGGCATCCCATAATCCAGGTTTTCAGTCAAAGGAGAAAAGTATCACCAAGTGAAGGCAAATTACATTGTATTTCCTACTCCAGGGAATGGCTGATTTAATCATTTTTGCTCTGTTTCCTTGGACTCCAAATGTGTCTTCAGGAGTTGTAAAATAATCCTATGAAAATCTTGAGCACTGAAAGTACCTTGGTGGTCAGGTTCGGATCCACCCAATCCAGTATCGTTTGTGAGAACGCCCACACTAGCTGGCCCATCAGAAGTCAGCAGCTGGTCCATGAATGGATCAAAGCTATGCTATACATGCTCCTCAGTCATATCCATTGCTATGGGATGTGAAGTCAGTTGTTTTTTTTTTAAAAAAGAGTACCAGCGGGCAGCCTTTGGCCTACAGAAGTTTTGCCCTACAGCTCCCATAATCCCTTGCCATTTACCATTCTGACAAGGGCATCAGGGAGTCAAAGTCCAAAATGTCTGAAGCACCAAAGATATCCCATTTCTGGTTTAGCATGAACTTTTTTTCCCTACCTCTAGCTTCAGTTCATTTCTGCTTTTATCTCTTTCCATCCTCTTGCAAGCCTCTTGCTTATAATCTGTGGCAGCCCACTGGTTGTATCCATTGCTTGCTTTTCTCCTTCAGTTGCTTAGATTTGCTCCTTTCTCCTCTAAAGTTGCTTCCAGATGGAGCTGTTCATGAGCATCATCTGTTCTGGATTGGCATGCTTAATGCCTGCAAGCAGTTTTTCATTTTGGCCATAACTAATCCAAATAAACTAACAGCATCAGTCTGGATGACATAGCAGTCATAACAGCACAATTGCACCAAACTAGGAAGTATTATCTCTCATTTGAAGCTTTTCCTGTTGGCATTGTGCTCACCTTAATAGCTTTTATCTGGAAGCATCCCTAACTCTCTGTCTGTCTGTCTCTTTCTCTCTATCTCGCTTTTTTGGCCTTCCTGTATCTATATCAACCTCCTTCATCTGCTGCAACAACTCCCTCCCACCCCAATTTTTAAAGAGAAGATAGAAGCACATAGTAGCTCACTAAGGGTTGGGGGGGACTTCAAACAGCAAGTTCTTTCACCCACCTCTTTGCTTTGACTTTATATGTAGTTTTCTCCACCTCCTCTGGTATAACATTGGATTTAAAGGAAACCCCCCCAAAACCCTGCAAACATGGATTTTCTTGTTGACTTTTTAAAGCCTTTAACTACCTTAAGTAACTTTTATTTTAGCGTTCAACGGCATATACCAAGATCCAGGTCTATAGAGTCTGTGTCTTGAGCACACTCCTGTACTGCAGTGAGTCCTGGACCCTTTGTGCACAGCAGGAGAGGAAGCTGATCACCTTCCATGTGCGTTGTCTCTGACGCATTTTTGGTGTCACCTCGCAGGACAAAGTTACAAATAGAGTAGTTCTAGATCGAGCTGGAATTTTCAGCATGTATACATTACTGAAACAGCAATGTCTAAGTTGGCTTGGGCATGTCATGAGAATGGCTGATGGTCGGATTCCAAAAGATCTCCTGTATGGAGGATAAGTGCAGGAAAATTGCCCCAGAGGGAAACCACAGGTGCGATACAAGGATATCTGCATGCGGGGTTTGAAGGCCTTAGGAATGGACCTCAACAGATGGGAAACCTTGACATCTGAAGGATCAACCTGGAGGTAGGCGTTGCATCACAGCCTCTCCAAATTTGAAGAGACACTTGTCCAGCAGGCTGAGGCAAAAAGGCAGTCATGAAAGCCACAAAATCAGGGAGCTGGACAGGGGACAGATTGTATGTGTCTTCAGTGTGGAAGGAATTGTCACTCTCGAATTGGCCTTTTCAGCCACACTAGATGCTGTTCCAGGTCCTCGATACAGAACCCGTTACCATAGTCTCTCGAGACTGAAGGATGCCGAAGAAGATCTGGTTGATGTTTTAGCCTTTAATTAACAGTCACAGCTAAATTTATCATACCTGTCCTGGAATTTGATCCTAAATATACATTTTTTTAAAAAAATTAAATCCCATTAATCAAATGGAGCTTACTTCCTGGTGCATATATTTTAGGAACACAGCATTATAATATCCAGACCCATTACTGTTTACCCCTCTTGGATGTACATTTTAATGTAGTGAGAGGTTTGAGTGTCTCAAGGAATCTTGAGAGCATTGTCACTAGGAGTCAAACATTATTGGAGAATTTGGCCTGGGAATCAGGAACAAAGCAAGAAAATGACTCAAAATTCTGCGATGCTAATGATTGGTATATTGCAAATAAATGTTTCAGATACAACAGATAATGGTACACATGTATGTCTACCAGGTGACCAATACAGAAATCAAATAGACTATGTACAGTGGTGCCTCGCTAGACAGTTACCCCGCATGACAGTTTTTTTGCTAGACATTGACTTTTTACGATCGCTATAGCGATTCGCAAAACAGTGATTCCTATGGGGGAATTTCGCTGGACAATGTTTGGTCCCTGCTTTGCAAACCGATTTTCGCTAGACAACGATTTTGACAGCTCCGTCCGCAAAGCTGAACACCTTCCATGTGCGTTGTCTCTGACGCATTTTTGGTGTCACCTCGCAGGACAAAGTTACAAATAGAGTAGTTCTAGATCGAGCTGGAATTTTCAGCATGTATACATTACTGAAACAGCAATGTCTAAGTTGGCTTGGGCATGTCATGAGAATGGCTGATGGTCGGATTCCAAAAGATCTCCTGTATGGAGGATAAGTGCAGGAAAATTGCCCCAGAGGGAAACCACAGGTGCGATACAAGGATATCTGCATGCGGGGTTTGAAGGCCTTAGGAATGGACCTCAACAGATGGGAAACCTTGACATCTGAAGGATCAACCTGGAGGTAGGCGTTGCATCACAGCCTCTCCAAATTTGAAGAGACACTTGTCCAGCAGGCTGAGGCAAAAAGGCAGTCATGAAAGCCACAAAATCAGGGAGCTGGACAGGGGACAGATTGTATGTGTCTTCAGTGTGGAAGGAATTGTCACTCTCGAATTGGCCTTTTCAGCCACACTAGATGCTGTTCCAGGTCCTCGATACAGAACCCGTTACCATAGTCTCTCGAGACTGAAGGATGCCGAAGAAGATCTGGTTGATGTTTTAGCCTTTAATTAACAGTCACAGCTAAATTTATCATACCTGTCCTGGAATTTGATCCTAAATATACATTTTTTTAAAAAAATTAAATCCCATTAATCAAATGGAGCTTACTTCCTGGTGCATATATTTTAGGAACACAGCATTATAATATCCAGACCCATTACTGTTTACCCCTCTTGGATGTACATTTTAATGTAGTGAGAGGTTTGAGTGTCTCAAGGAATCTTGAGAGCATTGTCACTAGGAGTCAAACATTATTGGAGAATTTGGCCTGGGAATCAGGAACAAAGCAAGAAAATGACTCAAAATTCTGCGATGCTAATGATTGGTATATTGCAAATAAATGTTTCAGATACAACAGATGATGGTACACATGTATGTCTACCAGGTGACCAATATAGAAATCAAATGGACTATGTACAGTGGTGCCTCGCTAGACAGTTACCCTGCATGACAGTTTTTTTGCTAGACATTGAGTTTTTGCGATCGCTATAGCGATTCGCAAAACAGTGATTCCTATGGGGGAATTTCGCTGGACAATGTTTGGTCCCTGCTTTGCAAACCGATTTTCGCTAGACAACGATTTTGACAGCTCCGTCCGCATTCTCAAAATGGGTGTTTTCGGGATCTAAGCTTCGCAAGACAGCTATTTAAATAGCTGATGGGCAGTTCGCAAAGTGGCTTTCCTATGTCCAATCTTCGCTAGACAACGACGATTCTTCCCCATTGAAATGCATTAAACAGGTTTCAATGCATTCCAATGGGGAAATGCTTTTCGCTAGACAATGATTTCGTTAAACAGTGATTTCAGTGGAACGGATTTTCATTGTCTAGTGAGGCACCACTGTAATTGGAAGCAGAATATGAAGATTTATTATCTCTGCACAAAACAAGACAAAAAGAGGACTGTGAATCATGAATTGTTAATATGAAAATGATAATAAAATTAGAGAACGACAAACACAGCCATAGTATCAAAATAGTGAAGACCATATAAAGAACAGTTTAGCATTACTAAGCTCAATCAGCCGGAATAGCTGTGAGGGGAGAAATACAATCAGGGCAGAATGCAAAAAGACTTTTCCTGTTGACAAAAGAAAAAAAAACCTTAAATGATTATTAATGAAACTCTTAAAGTTGTTTGCAACAGATAAGAAGCAGTAGAAAAGGTGACAAAAATAACATCTAAATCCTAAATGAAACTCTTCAGTGACTTCACATAGGAAGAAAAGGGTCTAGGACAACTATCATTGCAGGGATATAGAAAAGAACAACAAGAAGGATCCATAAAATCCAAGAAAGGAAAGGGAAATTTAAACTAAGATGAGGAATGCTGAAAGATTAATGGGAAATGTGACCATGGCAGCCCTGACAGATGACCATCAAGACTCTGCTTTAATATCTCCCATACAGGGAAGCACACCATCTCCTGAAGCCGTCTGTTCCACTGTCAAATAGCTCTTCATTCTGACGTTCCTCTTAAATGAAACAGATTGCACCATTAAAACATATTGCTACTGAATTAACTGCTGATTGAATAAAATCTAAGAGGTCACTGAGCAGGCATGAATGAATTACCAGGGTTTTTTTTAAAAAAATAAAATAAACATGTATAGTTATCTGTTAATATAGATGTCAATCAGCATACAGCTTGGCAGTAAAAGTCTACAATATTTGTAATGACTAGGGTATGTGTGCTAAGTGAACAGAGTCCACTAGATTGTTCATAATTGTGAAGAGGAAATTTCAGAAAATTTGACTCATCTTGTCACAGTATTGTGAGAAAAAACTGCATCTGATGAAACTTTCACATAATCATTAAAGTTGCAAGAGCTCTCTTCACTTTGGATATCACTGGGTTTAGACTTGCATGACCCTGCCATTGACCTTTCAAAGAGATACTTGGAATCTCTTAGAGCAAACCACTATGTAATTACCTCTTGTTTGCCATCATCCAAGAGAAGCAATTGGGTAGCTCTTATTACTTTTCCCTTTGAAAGGCCACATTGAAAAGGGTTGGTTGTAAATTGTATCTTGTTCCATTACAGGAGAGTTTGGTGAAGTCTATAAAGGGCGCCTGAAACTGCCTGGAAAGAGAGAAATCTATGTGGCTATAAAGACATTAAAGGCGGGCTACTCTGAGAAACAACGGCGGGACTTCCTGAGCGAGGCCAGCATCATGGGTCAATTTGATCACCCAAACATCATTCGACTAGAAGGGGTAGTCACCAAAAGCCGTCCAGTGATGATTATAACAGAATTTATGGAGAATGGAGCCCTAGATTCTTTTTTACGTGTAAGTGCATCTATTTTTAATCCCTTTTAGGTGATTATGGAATTGAGCCATTTAATGAGATCTTTTGTGATGGTGTGAGCTATGTGCATTAAGCAGATTAATTAGTTCCAAACAATTATAACACCCTACCTTGTTCTTTTAATTGCTAAACCTGTTTAGAAGTCATCCATAAACAAGTAGGAAAAGGTTCCTTACTTTTACTGCATTGTAGTAAAATGGGAATATAAAAGTTCTGCTCCTGGTAATTATGTTTCTTCCACTGATTATTCCCTTCTTGGTCTGTATATGCTTCTCTTGTTCTTAGATAATTAGAGATTTTTCTACAAATTCCTTGCATTGCCTTTTCATCTAGCGACTTCTGATATATCTTGCTCTTCTTTCCTTCAACACCCTGTCTTTTCTATCTGCTTTGCACTCAGACTTCTGTTTCTTAAACCTCTTATTTTCTCCTCTTTCTTCAGCGACTGCTCCTAAGCTTCCCTACTCCCGAATTATTTTCATGGTCAGTTAACAAACAAAACAGTATTCAACCTCACCGTTTTCTCAAATAGCTGTTTCCTCTTTTAGGCTTGTAATGTGAGCTGCTGCTCCCACCTGGATTCTAGGTTAACTCGGAATAAATGTGGAATGCTAACATTGGTGCTTATCTTTCACTAATTCAGCAAAACGATGGGCAGTTTACCGTCATCCAGTTGGTGGGGATGCTTAGAGGGATTGCAGCTGGAATGAAGTACCTTGCAGAGATGAATTATGTCCACCGGGATCTGGCAGCTAGGAATATACTTGTCAACAGCAACCTAGTCTGCAAAGTGTCTGACTTTGGCCTCTCACGCTATCTACAAGATGACACCTCAGACCCAACATACACCAGCTCTTTGGTAGGTGCCTGTTTCCTATGAAACTAGGAGTTGTGTTGTTTCCAACCGTTAGCTTTCAGGCCATTATAATTATTGCAATAGTACACTGGTCTTTTTACTCTAATTATTTTCTTAGAAAACAATTTGACTTGAGTATACATACTAATCTCTTTATTACATTTATAATTGGTGATGATTAATAGTGGAATGGTAACAATGAAGGCTAAAGTCCAATTGTAGATGTATTGCAAGAGAGAGTCTTACGTAATCCCAAATACACAAGTTAAAAAAGAAGAAGAGGAAGGGAGAAGAGAACAAATGTCTAACAGAAGAATCTAAGAACTAAACTGTTGCTAACAGCAAACAGGTGATCGTAGCAGATGGCAAATCCAAGGGAACAACAACATACTAGTTATCATTAGGACTTACACTAGGCTCAGCACAGCAGCCACCTCACAGTCATTCAGCTAAAAATGAAATTTATGAAGACACCGGAAATCTGCTGTTCTGTTGTTGTTAAGATAGCACGCTGCTTCCTCTGTGAGACGTGAGACTTCCAACAGTTCATTAAGCCCAGGTTTTCTTGTTGCAATGTAGGTTGAATCTCAGTGGTACAGCAGTGTTTGATGTGATTGTATTGTTGCCCACTCCCAGGTATGTGTAGAAATTTCCGTGGTTCTGAAAGTACACCTTTGCTCTTTACCAGAGGAGGTAAATGTTTCATTTGTGAGAAAAGTCTACTACACGAGTTCTCAACACTGGTCAGTTGCAACAGTAGACCAGGGTACCCCAATTCTGCACTTAGAGCATGTCTTACAGAAAGTCCATCTACTTAAGAAAAGCTTGTTAGTTTTACTTGGCAAGAGACCTCTTCAGATCACAATCCTCTTAACTGGTTTCAGCATTATTTGCAAGCTGAGTAGACTTTTCAGTTCCCATATGCATTTTTGAAACAAGTAGCTTTCACTGATGTCTAGGAGATCAGTAACTATCATATGTAAACATAACCGTTGTTCATGATGAGCAGCTACTGGCCATTAGCAAGTTCTCTACTACTGGTCAGCAATTCTCATTGTGCTCCATTTACATCATTATAATGACAGAAAGTAGAGTTGACAAGAGATATGACAGCATGACAGTAAACAGAGTTGACAGTGCATTCTCTATTTTTTACGTTTTGGCTCTGCTTCGAAGGAAGCCCTACACCTGAAGCATTCCAATCAAAACTTACGTTGTTCCTGTTTTGAACCTGATTGAACCCAGAATGAATAGATTTGTTTTCTTTGCAGTCCATGGGACTCTCAAGAGTCTCCTCCAGCACCACAATTCAAAAGCATCAATTCGGCAGTCAGCCTTCTTTACCAACTCTCACTTCCATACATCACTACTGGAAAAAAAAGTTATTCTACAGAACTCAAAATGATGTTGTTACTTCCTATACTTTACTTATTCCTATACTTTCTATATATACTTTATCTTTATATAAACCCTGTGAGATTGGTCAGGATAAGAAAGTTAGAGATTGACCAAAGGTCTCACTGTAAACTTCATGTCAAAGTGAGGATTTGAATGTGGGTGTCTTTGCACCTAGTCTGACACTCAAATCACTAAATTCTCTTAACCTGTAGGAGCATGAAATAAATAGTGAAATGTAACTGCCATTTCTTTACAGATTGTGTAAAAAAAACCTTTTATTTTGCCCTTCTTTTGACATTGAAAGGGTGATAAATGGAATTATGCTATCCTAGAAGTTCCTCCTCAGCTTAGCATGTCACTTCTTCCCTCCTTCATCCTTCGGGATGAGATGAAATATATGCATTTTAACCAGTTTAGTGAGCACAGAAAGTTCTTTGCTCTAAAAATATCAGCTACCTGATGTTGGCACTTATCCTTGGTATTGGGTGAAGTGAAATCGAAGCCCATGACTGACAAAGGTGTGCTCTTGCAGAATCAGTGGCAGGCAACATTTGAGGCAGCAAGCCAGAAAACAAGAAGCCAGCTGGTGTAAGTTGGTATAAATTTCAGTGGTCCCAGAGATCCCATTTCTTATGGATGTGAGTCAGCTGAGTAGATGCCTTTGCAGTAATTGGAACCAAGGTGCTTTATGCCAGCTGAGAATCTGAGCTGCTATCCTTGAATCAGCCATCCATGGCTTAACCAAGAGCTCTGTTCCTTCTCCAGACTGCATATTGCAGCCTATTTAAATAAATCAATGTGAGTTTAAACTGCCCAATGTTAGCTGCCTGGATTGAGCAAAAGTAGTCTCGCCTATCTTTGGAGAAAAAGCAGATTTTCTCATCTGTATTTTTTATAGTTAATTTATGCCCCAAATGGTCTTTCTAGCAGCTGGGAAATGATGCACTGTGTGCAGTTACATCAGTGCTTCCCACGGCAGGTTCATAGCTCTGCTCTGGGAAAAAGGTAGAATAAAACAATCTTCAAGCAAATTTCTCCTTTTTTTTTGGTTATTTAAATTGAGTTTTTATTATGAAGCCTAAATCTATTTTGCCACCTATCTTTGAAACATGACTGAAAACTAGGGCAAACAATTCTGCCCAGCGTTAGTTGCTTAGTCAACCTATGTTTCTTTCCCTCTCCTCATTAGTTTTAATTATGGTATGATGCATTTATGTCAAAAGCAAGATTGTTGTTTCCATGAGTTCACACGCAGAGTAATGTTTATTTCTGTTCTGATTGACTTTACTTTTTTAGTGTGACATAATAGTCCAAGCCCATCAAATATGACATCACAGAAAAGATATCACAAAGAGAGTTGTGCATTGTGTTAGGGTACAACTGGGAAGGCACTCAGATAAAAGCCACAGTGGCTGTTGTGATAATTGCCAGACTGTTTATCACCTTTCCTCTTTAAGGAGATGTTTGAGCTGAGATTTCCCCAGTCTGATATATTTCTTGGATTAAGTGAGCTGTCTCATCTTTGCCTTTGACAGGTAAGCGTATAACCACAGTAATCAGTCTTGGCATAGGTGGGATGGACAATCTGTGACTTTCTGCTGATTTTAAAAGAGCCTGACAACAAAATAGGGCAATCTACCCTTCCTCTGGTGGGCCACCTGGTAGAGAGTACAGAGGAGAAAAATGTGGAAACAGAGGTATCAGCAAGAAGATAAGAAGAGGAGGTGATAGAAATAGGGTGGTGGAAAGACAGAAAAGAGGTGACCCTACCTATAATTGGCTGAAGCCCTAGCCACTACTCAGTCAATGCAGCAGCACAAACAAAGTTGTAGAGAATAAAGAAGGAAAGAGATGGGTGTTGGCATTTTCTTTTTGTTCCTCCCTCACATTTGGAAGCAGTAGTATATTGATTATTTGGTGAGGTTCTGACTGGGGTGTGTGTAGGTCTTTTGAATTGTTTGATTCTTCCTAGGTTAACAAATCAATTCAAGACCGTTTTTTGGATGTTTACCTATCCATCCTTAATTTCTACCAAAATTGTCCAACAACGCTAGCTAGATTGACCACATTTACACAGCCAAAACTGAGGCCATGCACTATCACAAAAAGATGGTGTCGGATTGCAAAACATTTATTTATGCAAATATGGATGCATTTAAGAGCAACTAATAGCTTCACAGATGGCAAACCAATTAATTCCCCAGTCAAATCTCTGAAATTCTTAATTTGCCTAACACCCCAGATTCCCTAGCTCTGTTCTCTTATTCAGATAATTTGTGCCTAGATGTTGATAACTCTGCTTTAAAACCACTTATAACTATCCATGTTCAAGAAAATTAACACCATTATACCTCTATCAAACTGAATTCTACAGAAATGGGTAAGATATCCATTACACTTTCTCCAATGGATACTGTCATATGCCTTATTGAGTTTCATGGGGTCTATACCAAAATAATTTTATGCCAGCTTACAGTTTAGTTAGGACATTTCTGTTTGTATAGTTTTTTTTAAATGTTAGTTTTAATTTCTCACAATTATGTTTTAAGCAAGGCCAGGATTTTGTTCATTCTTGCCAATTCTTCATTTTGTGTGAAAAAAAATGGCCTGAAACTATTTGTTACTCCTCAATCAACTTGTTAGATTGTCTAGACTGGGATGGGCAAACTGTGGTCCTCCAGGTGTTGTTGGACTGCACCTCACAGCATTGATGAAGATTCGCTGTATTGGTTAGAACTGATAGGATTTGCAAATCCAGAAATTTCTGTCAGGCAGCACTTTCACCCCATCCCAATGTCTGTGAATAATGTTAAACATTGTTCAAATACCTGTAAGTATTAAAAAGTATTCTTGACTTGATACCATACGATCAACTTTTGCACTAGTAATAGTTTCAGCTATATGAAATCAGCAGAGATGGCAGTCAACCATATTTACATCTAGAAAACATGGTTCATATATTTCAAGGAGATAGCCATGTTAGTGTGTCATAAGAAAAAGAAGAGAGTTGTGTGCCACCTCAATCTTAGAGTCTTTAAGCTGCAGAGCTAGAAGGGACCCTATAGATCATCAAGTCCAGCCCCTTTCAAGGAGGCCCAGTGGGAAATCAAACTTCCAACCTTTGGCTCTACAGCCAGATCTAAGCCACTGAGCTATGTTCGTTAAAGATTTCCATGTTTTAAACACACTCCAATTTTCAGATATTGAAGCAAACCACCTCCAAAATTTGCTTCTCTCCATTTCCCCCCCTTTTAAAAAACAACAGCAACCATACTGTTTTTGGCTGTTTATCTTCCCAGTTCAATAATGGGAATTTTTTACATTGGCAGTCTGATGAGAGGTGGGGAGAAAGCACTTCTTTTTAGGCAGCAACAGTTTGCTTTGCCTACCACATGGCAGAAGAGTCCAACCCAAATGACCAAATGCAAAGCAGACGACCAAAAAAAGTCTAATTGTCCAAACTCCAAACGAGAACACAAGCACCACATATACTCAAACACACCCAGTATTAATGTAAATGAAAGTAAAATCAAGAGTAAATAAGCATCAATCTAATCTAGCTAGCACCAAGCAAACTGAGTAGAAATATGACACAAGATGATACAAAGCACAAATGACCTTAGTGAAAGACCTTCTCCACACTTTTGGTGACTGGATAATGGACAAGTCCTTTGTCTTTGCTGGGAGGTGTAGCTGTCACTTAGTGAGCCCAGCTATCCACCCTTTCTTTGTCATCTCACCCCACCTCAGTACTCTCTGTTTACCCTTCTCCAATTTTGGGCCCAGCCCTAGTTCCTTCCCTTCATTCCAGCAGTAGGATTGTTTCCAATTGTGTAGCCATGATGAGATCAGATGCTCTGGGAAATAATGGACAGAATCATGCAAGTGCAATCATGTGTTCCTTTCCTTTGCCTGCCCTGTTGCACATAAGCATCAAACTCAGGAGTATGACTTGTGAAAAAGATAACTGGCTGGAGGGGGGGAAATAGTTCTGCCATTGCCCTTTTGCATATGTGTGTGTGGTTTTTTTCTTCTTTCCTAAATAAGATCTAGCAAATGAAGGAGTTTCCACATCAGCTGCCTCCCAGCACTTGAAATTTATTATCTTAGGCTGAGCAACTAAATTGCTTATTGCTTCTCCTTTGGTGTGTTCAGGGTTCTTGTGATGAGCTGTCATCTCTGTGTGAAGGGCAGCCCCACTTTCTTGTCCTTTTCTTGGCATTTTTCTCAAGGGAAGGGGTCCAAAACAAAGCACGTTTGCGTGCTTCACAGTACAAAACAGCCACGGGTGAGAAAGTGTCACTCAGGATAAAGCCCTAAAGACCATTGTTTCCACTTGGCATGCAAAGAGGTGTAGGGAAACAGCTGCTGCTGTCAGCCTTTGACGTCTGCTTTTGGGCCAAGGAAGTGTGAGAGCACCTATATATTCTCTATAGGAAACATGCTAGCCTTTTTGAAAACACTTTTGTGTTCATTGGCATTCATGAAAACAATATTTTGTGAATTTAGCTACTGTTGATGTTTAACCACTACAGCTGGAACAAATGTTATACTGCTAATCTTCTCACCACAGGAGGAAACTGTTGTCTTCGACATCACAGTATCTAAGCAAGGACAAGAAGGCCATACTAGCTGGACTCATGGACCTCAATAGGTTCTTGGGCATATTTTTGTTACATGCCTGTACCAGTTTAATTGATTTAGCTTAATCCACAGAACTATGGGACTGAAATTTCTGAGAAAGGACAAGGAAACTTGAGGAGCTACACAAACTTAGAATTTCTGGAACCCTTTGTGGAGAATATGATGGAAGTAATTTAAAAGCCAACTTATCTAGGTCCCCTGAGGTGCTTCACTTTGCTCTCTGGTCCTGCACTTTCCTTTCCCTGTAAGAAGAACAATAGAAATGGCATCCTTATAAAATCCAAAAAAACATACTATGAGAGTCCAAATCACTCTCCTCCTTCTCTTGTATCAGCAGAAGTAGCTAGTTTGGCTGAAAGGATGTTTCTTGCTTTTTTGTCCTTTGTGATTTCCCACTGATCCTAAACTCTGAATTTGAGTGAACCAAAGTCATTAGGATATATCATGGGCTTTCTTTTTACTGGTGTGTGTGTGTGTGTGTGTGTGTGTGTGTGTGTGTGTGTGTGTGTGTGTGTGTGTGTGTGTGTGTGTGTGTGTGTGTGTGTTTTTTCTCTCTTTTAAATTTACTATTGGAAATTCTTTCTTGTAGAACTTGGAACAACAAAGTTACAGACTGTAGGAGCTGCAGCCTGAGAAAGCATTTTTTTTCTCTAGCATCGTGAAACAGGATGTATGTAACTCAGCTATGATTTCATACATTAGGATATATGTCCAAAATAGTGTTGGATGATTCTTGTTGATTTCAGTTTTGCTCAACTTTCTGATTTGTCAAGCTTTTGTTTCAGACAGTTTCTGAATCAGTTTGTAATTTTGAGCAACAGTCTGTGTGAAAATTGTTACGCATTTTTGTTGCACTTTCCTTGAATATGTGCAAATGTTTACTCCAAATATAATGGATTTTTTAAAAAATTTTATTTTCATGCCAATAAATATTTTATATAATTTATTGGCTGGAGAATTAGGGAGGTTTACAATAAAAGGTGCATTGAATTGATTTTTCCTCATCTATCTTCTAAAACCAGAGCCATAAAATAAATTATAACATTGAATTGCTCACCTAAAACCAAGTTTATGATTTCTTTCTGCAACTGAACAGTGGACAAGGTGCTGCAAATAAAAATAAAGAAGTAGGTGACTGTCTTTGATGATAGCTCTGAGGATCTCTCATCACCACTTCATTGGTTTTTCTTTACAGTTTTGATAGATAGAACTAAATATCAGTAGCCTGTATGTTAATACAGTAATACCATAGAAGATAAACCAATAAAATAAAGATTTCTTAGGCATCCTTCAGTCTCGAGAGACTATGGTAACATGCTCTGTATCGAGGACTTGGAACAGCATCTAGTGTGGCTGAAAAGGCCAATTCAAGAGTGACAACCCCTTCCACACTGAAGACAAATACAATCTGTCCCCTGTCCAGCTCCCTGATTTTGCTGCTTCCGGGACTGCCTCTTTGCCTCGGCCTGCTGGACAAGTGTCTCTTCAAATTGGGAGATTATGCATAAAATGGCAGGTTATACACATAAATTATTCTATTTATTTATTTCTAACATTTATATATTGCCCTGTTAGTGCACAGCACTGTTCTGAGCAGTGTACATGAAAAAACAATGTCCACAAAATAGTATATTAAAAAATGCACCCATTGGTAACCACTAAGTAATGTGTGATGCCCCACTTCCATTGGAACAGGCCAGAATACTGGTATCTGCGAAATACAATACCATCTTTTTTACCACCATCTTTTTTGCAGTCTGTCAGTAAGACTGGGCTGACTTCAGTAATCCCCTAAGTACTGTGTTAACAAGTGGGTCTTAATATGCTGAATGATTGTGTGCATGGCATTTGTAAATCCTGCATCTTGACATGCAAGAGGAAGAGGGGTAAAGGTTATTTATGTACATTTTCCTGTTGATGCATATCTTTCCTTTTTTTTCTTTTCAATTTCATATATTTTTAACTCTCTCATTTTTAAAAAGTGTGAATTTTTGTATGCATTTTATTTCTGTGAAACGAAGTGCAAGATTGAGATGTGTGGGCTTCTGAAGCAAAGTGCAGTTGGATCATTTTGACAAGAATCTTGAATCACTGAAATTCTTTCTCTCTCTCTTGTTATCTTCCAGGGTGGGAAGATCCCAGTGAGGTGGACAGCCCCGGAGGCTATTGCCTATCGTAAATTCACCTCTGCCAGCGATGTATGGAGTTATGGCATTGTCATGTGGGAAGTGATGTCTTTTGGGGAAAGACCCTATTGGGACATGTCAAATCAAGATGTGAGTTTGGTGACTGTCCTTTGTTGTTGTTGCCCTTATGTGCTGTCAATCTGCATCTGACTTTTGCAAACTGGATAGGATTTTTGAAAGGGTAAGGAGTATTTAGGATGGATTTTACCTTTGCCACCCCTCCGAATTTACATGTATGAGCACAGGTTTGATCCCAGGCCTCATGAGTTCTAGTCCATTACTCTGTCCATTCCACTCCACTGACTTTCTGAATCTTCTTTTAGAATATAGCACTTATCTCTTTGTATTTTTATGAGGGAGGGCATGCTTCATCCTCACAATAACACATTTTAAGCTAAATACTTAATCATTTCTAAATCTTACAGCCATTCCCACAGTGACTGACTTCCTTAAATAATTAGAGAAAAAATGAGGGTCGTTTTATACACCGAAGGCAGCTGTTTACTGCTGCCTTTTGTGAAGGCATGGGGCTTAGCAAAAAGGAGGGGAGAAACCCCTCCCCTTTCTTTTTGCTAAGCCCTGTGCCTTCGCAAAAAGGAAGGAAAAGCAGGTGTCAAAGTGACTGCCGCTTTTCCTTGCCTTTTGCGAAGGCACGGAGCATATCAAAAAGCAAGAGAGAAACACCTCCCCTTCCTTTTTGCTAAGCCCCACACCCTTGCCTTTTGAGAAGGCACGGAGCTTAGCAAAAAGAAAGAAAGAATGCCTCCCCGACTTTTTTGCTAAGCCCTGCGCCTTCTCAAAAGGCAAGGGTGCACGGGGCTTAGCAAAAAGGAAGGGGAGGTGTTCTCTCTTCCTTTTTGCTAAGTTTCGTGCCTTCTCAAAAGGTAATGAAAAGCGGCAATCACTTTGACAGCTGCTTTCCTTGCCTTTTGCAAAGGCATGGGGCTTAGCAAAAAGGGAGCCCTTTGATCTCTGCTTTTTCTAATTTGGGGTTAGAAAATTGGGGGGACGTCTTATACATTTGGTTGTCTTACAAACAGAAAAATATGGTACTCTCTTATGGGGAGAAAAAAATTCTCTTTTCTGCACAGGAATTGTTACTGAGTAGACATGGGGATGAATTAAAAAATGGATCACAATATTTGTAAAAAACCGCTGATTCATTAAATATTCATCCCTTCATATTAATCAGTTCCAGAGACCCCAATTAATATGAAGGGACAATATTTTCCCATTTTTATTTGTCTCCCATAGGAAGAGATAGAAGGCTAGCCTTCCCTGTCTTCCTATGGCCTTCTCATTCTGCCTGTGGGCCCGCTGATCAGCTGATAGGCAGCCATCCAGCCCCACAGTCACCCACCCCCACAGCCTATCCCCTGCCCCACCCCCTCCTATCTTAGCTGCTGCCACCATCCACTGCTGCCCAGTGCTGCTGTCATCTACTGCTGCCTGCTGCCACTGCCATTTATCGCCACCCACTGCAGTGGCCTCGACAGCCACGATCTACCATAAGGGACACAGGCTGCCCTTTGCAAAGATGGTGGCTGTGGCTTCTGTTAGGGCAGGGAAGCTGCAGCAACCACCTTTACAAAGGGCAGCCTAGATTCCCTTAAGTCAGGCCATATCAGCGGAGGGCATTGCAGCAAGCAGTGCTGGATGGTGACTCAGCGGAGGCCGTTGCAGCAAGCAGTGCTGGATGGTGACTGCGGAGTCCGCCATGGCACAGGCGTCTGTGGATGGTGGTGGCGGCTGCAGCAGTGGGGCAGACTGTGGCAGCCAAGGTAGGGAGGTGACAGGGAAGGGGGCAGGGGGACAGGCTGTGGGGGTGGAAGTGTCAGCTTTTTTAAAAACGACAGCCTCCAGCTGTCTAGCCCCCCCCCAATGAACTGACAAATCAATTCGTGTTTCATCAGTTCATGGGAAGGAAATTTGTACCTTGCCAACTTTGATGGATCATAAAGCAGGACAACTTACCAAAATGGCAATTCATTCCCATCTCTATTACCGAGTAACAGAATATGTCTTTTAAAAAGTGACTGAAGGTACATCTAATCAAACATCCAGTTCAAATGTCTCCAAGAACATTGAAAGAGTTACATTCTGATTGACAACTCCCAAAATCCTTCCAGGCAATGATTTTACCAAGCTGTCCCTTTTCCAAGATGCCCACCAAAAGGGTGTAAAGGCAGGGGCTGCTTCACTCTCTGTTTCCAGCATCCATTCATTTATAAAATTACTATCTCTTTTTGTTATGTTTCCATTTTTTTCATTCTGGCTGATAGATGTGGCATTCATTTGTCCAATCCATTTTTAAAGCCAGATCAGCCTGTAGTTGTCTCATCATTTCATGTCAGTGGATTCTTCTATAAATCAGGTATGAGGAGCCTGCGGCTTTCCAAATATTGTTAGACGACAATTTCCATCATCCCAACCCATTGGCAGTGCTTGCAGGGCCTAATGGGAGCTGGAGTCCAGCAACATATGGAGAGGGAGAGGTTCCATGTACCCACTATAAGATGGCTAGGCTGGCCTGTGGTGAAGGATGATGGGAGAAATAGTTCATTAGTATAAGGACTACTATAGTTCCCTTATTTCTCTACCAAAAGATAACAATGCTTGGGGAAAATAGTCTTTTCATTTATTCTGATTTATGAGCCTATGTTCCATGTGTCCTGCATCTGAGAGTTCTAGTAATATGTGAGTGGAGAAGCAGGGCTGACCAAGATATTCTGTACCAGGATGATGCACACACCTCCCCAATTGGCCAATGGATTTTATTTCAACACTGGCAATGGCGTGGTCTCAGTTTGACAAGAGCAGGACAAGCCATGGGGATATGGCACTCTGTTTTCCAAAAAAAGGGGTAGGGCTGTGGGGCTGCTCCTTCTCCTTTCCTTTAGTCTCTCCCATCTATAAGGATTGCCTCAATGTGCATCAACGTGGGTACAGCCTGAGGAAAACAATGCTTACTTTTGCATCCACTCCACAACAACATGTGTTTTTTTAAAAAAATGTACTGTGTTAATTGAACTTACCTCCTCAAGGGTGTGTATTGTAATTTTGCAGTCCTAGGGCTTTTCAGCCAGATCTTTCTGTTTAGATTTAACAGCCCACTTTTTCAGCAGCACAAAATGTCAACAACCACATACATAGTAAGCTTTTTGTCAGCATTTGAAGTGAAAAAAAAAGAGTTTGCAAACAACGTAAACAAATGGACATTATTACATAATCACACGTGGCCCGAATACTGTGTAGAAAACCATTTCTCCTTCACGCCTGAGCCACAACGAACAACTCAGTACCTTTGTTGCCTGCACATTAGGGCCTCCCTTTACCTACCAGCAATTTTCCGACAGAACTGTTAGAGTCAATTCCAACTTCAATTCATGCTGGGCTTGGAAATGCTAACTGTGAGGTGCCAACCTCAGCTTTCCTCTTCTTTTTTCCCCCTCCCCTTGAACTTCTACTGTACGTAAAGAGTTTCTGAGATGAAAGAAACAGAGAAGGGGAGAGGAACTGGGAAGACAAGCCAGCCAGTGTGGTAGTAATTGGACACTAGAAACCCGACAGGTCTTTGAAAGTGTTCAGAGAGTTTATGAGCCAGGCGCAGAGACTTGATGAAGTCCTGTGCAACAGCATGATAGGCAGAGATAATGAGAGTGGCAGCTGCTGTAACAGGGAAGGGACTACCTTTGTCTTGAAGCATCTGAAGTCAAATTAACCTCTGGATGCCCTGCGTCTTTCAGAGCCAGGAATGTTTCTGTTGCTCCTTGCTCACAGGGCAAGCTCATTCTTTTACTCCTGCCCTCATTGTACTTGTGTGCTGAGCACCGTGCCTTAAAAATGGAGTCTGCATCTGAGAGGCAAAGGGAAGGCAGGAAAAAGAGGAGTGTCTGAATCAGCTGGAGGGTCAGAAAGGTGGCCGAGAACTTCAGGCAGCTAAATTCAATGCTGCATTCACCACATCCAAACCATCCAGAAGCTTAGTCACTATACCCAAATAAAGGTTCTTACTGAAGTTTTGTCATAGCATTTTATTCTTGTGCTTTGATCCATGCCCTTATTACAGATCTTCACTACAGCCAGTGACCATGCTCGCGGAAGGATTGTGGGAGTTGTAGTCCAAAAAGTTAGCTTCTGGCAATGTAGAAAGTTGGCTTCCTTCTATTTATCTATGCATTTATTCAGTCATTTATAATATATCCAAGGCAGCTCATAACAACTAAAACTATAAAACAATCAACAGCTTTGGAAACACTATACAGTGGTGCCCTCTGGACGATTACCCCATTTGATGACGAATCCACTGAACGTTGAAGTTTTTGCGATTGCTTTTGCGATCGCAAAACGATGTTTAGATGAGGGAATTTTTCTTAACGTTGATTGGTTCCCTGTTTTGGGAACCAGTTTTTTGCTTTACGATGATCAGCAAATAGCTGATTGTCGGGTTTCAAAATGGCCACCGGCTGTAGAAAATGGCTCCCCACTGTGTTAGGGACGTATTCCTCGCATTACAGGCACCAGGAAATGGCCGCTCTATGGAGGGTCTTCGCTGGACGAGCAGGTATTTTGCCCATTGGAATGTTACAGGCACCAGGAAATGGCCGCCGTATGGAGGATCTTTGCTGGACAAGCAGGTATTTTGCCCATTGGAATGCATTGAACGGTTTTCAATGCGTTTCAATGGGTTTTTTTAATTTTCGCTTGACGATTTCACTCTACAGCGATTTCACTGGAACGAATTAATGTCGTCAAACGAGGCACCACTGTATAAATATAATATTAAAAACAAACATATATTAAGATATTTTTAATCAAGTTAAAAACAATTCAAAAACATTTAAAAATCTGTAAGTTCAAAACCAGCATTCCTGAGATAACTTAGAGCTTTAAAAACCTTCCTGGTGAGGAAAGTCTTTGCTTGAGAACAGAAGGACAAAGAGGGAGGGGGTCAATCTGACTTTTTGGGGGCAATGCATTCCAAAGCCTGGGAGCAGCCACTGAGAAGGCCCTCTCTTGTGTCATCACCAAACTTGAGAAGGTGATAGAAATTAGAAAAGAGCCTCTCCAGAAGATCTCAAAATCCTAGTAGGCTCATATGGGGTGATTCAATCCTTCAGATGCTAGACAGATGCATTGCTGTTTTGCCATGTCACTTACTTTATTTAACAACAACAAAAGGAAAGTCACTTTGGTCTGCTGGAAAAGGTGAGGATGGGAGCACCTTAATTGGAAGGGAGATAAATCCAAAGAAACATTTTTGTGCAAAAAGTGCATTGGCAAGTCCTGGAGTGTTAAAAATGCTCAACATATCTTGTAATGTTTCCCATCTAAGAGGGGAAAAATCATTTAGTTTTTCATTCACACATGCAAGAATGAAATAAGTGAAAATAATTATTGCTATCGACAAACTTGAATGACTGGAAGCTTTTATTGTTGAGTCTGATGATGAAAAGACTTGCACAGGTCCAATTAAAGGACTAGGCGTTTCCCCCAGTCACATTTATTCTTTTAAAAAGGAAAGGCTCTGAATGCCTTCTGCCTTGTTTCCTCCAACATCTTTATGTCTATTTTTTTTAACATACCAACACACTTGCTTTTTGTAGGTTATTAATGCAATTGAACAAGACTACCGGCTTCCTCCCCCAATGGACTGCCCTGCTGCTCTCCATCAGCTTATGCTAGATTGCTGGCAGAAAGACCGCAACACCCGACCACGCTTTGCTGAAATAGTTAACACCTTAGACAAAATGATCCGAAATCCAGCAAGCCTCAAAACTGTGGCTACCATCACCGCTGTGTAAGTTTTCAGCTGTTTTACTGTGCTTTGGTCAAGATCCTGAAATATCTACAACTGCCATTAGAGTGTCCACCAGTTAAGGAATACACAATTGGACAATCATGTCTCCTTATTTTTAACTGGTTAACTAATTATTTGGTTTTAAATAGGTGTGCCTATTTCCAAACCCTAAGTATAGATCCATTTTAGAGAATATATGAGATACTAACCCATTTTTCTTAACAAAATACATTTATGTACTCTTACGAGGAATAGCCAACTTTTCACATTTTATTTTCCACTCCTTCCTCCAGTGAAATTGCAGTCTTCGAAATATAAACAGGTGTGCACTTAACTTTACGTTCCACTGATGAAAAATATCCCCTCAACAGTTAAAACTGTCTACTTGGCTCAGGCGTTGAGGGGTTTAAGTTTGTTGTAAGCAAGCCTGAACAGAGTGGAATTTGTTATATAATTTGTTTGAATTGGTTTTCCATCAGACCTTACATTTTCAGAAACTGCTATTTCTGAGCTATTCGGCTACTTCTCAGAAGGGAAAAAGCAGCCTTCTTTGTTTCTGAACAGAGAATATTCTCATAATATTGAGACATTCTTATGGTGTTGGAGAATCCAGGAGCTCAATGATCAATAGAGATTGCTCATTTTCTACCCAATAGATGCTTCCTGCATGGTAGCAGGAATGACTGTAACCTGTCTGTTGCCTTGGATCTTCCTCACCTCAGGAAATATCATCACCACTGATACAAGTTACAACTCCAAGTACACCTTAGCAATCCTGGTCAGCATCCAGGCTGGATAGTGGATTTGGGGAGTTGTATTTAGAAAAAAACGTAACTCCTCTGATCTGTGATACTGAAATACAAGTCCTGGTCTCAACAACAATAGACTCTCTGAAACAATGGAATTTACATACATGTTGACCCTACTCTTCATCAGTTGCTCTTCCAGCAACTGGGGATTTATGCTTGAGACATCAGATCATTTCATGCAGGGAGAGAGACTGGGTTCTTTACTAACACCATCACCTAGTTGGGTATTGTATTTGGGAGGGTTGCCAGGAAGGCCTCATTTGCATTTACTCAGACCAAAATCAGTTGGTACATCCAAAACCCACCTGCTGGAGATGCACGTCTGAGCTAACTTCCCTGATATGTTGATTTGTAATGTGTCTGTAGAGAGTTTTCTTTCTTCACTTTTTAGAAGAGGGAACATTGAGGTGTGTTTGGCACTCTATCATCTGAATAGCTTCCGTCTGCCAACAGCCATCAAGTGAGTCTGGCATTTTTGCATGTTGTCTCACTTAAAGCTGGGGAAGGAAGGAGATTTGGAGAAAGCTGTCACATTGCACTATTGACACAGGGTTTCATTTCTCCACATTATCTGAGACAGGCAGAACTGTGCAGATGCTGAACCAATGCTTAGGTTTACCTGTGCACTAGGTGAGGGCTAAAGAACTCAGATTCTTCCTGAATCCCAGCTGAACACGAGATCCTGTGTGTAGGTTGTTCTTGTACCTGGAAACTGAGTACTGTACTTCATCTGTTCTGGGCAGAGTTGCACTTCCCCTGAAGGAATATGTATCTGTCACCAGGGAATGTTACCTCGTCTAACCTTATCACTGGAGGAACAAGAGTGGCAGCTTTTATCTGTTTCACTTGGTTCACCAGGTACAGTATTCCCTGGAGAGAGATGATGTGGCATAAGTAGTTCAGCACTCTAGTAACCTCTCACTTGATTTTATATAATGTGTTGTATCTGTTGGAATTTGGAGTTAGTTCAGAAGGCAATAGCTTGTAGTGTAACTGGCAAAGCCAGGGTGGGCCACATTTACTACACCATATGTGAAAGAACTGCACTTCGCTGCTGAGCCCAAGTCAAGTTGCTGGTGCTTAATCCTAAATGGATTGGGACCCAAATATCTGCAGGGGTGCCTGTGTCAGATTGTCAGTATCTTGAGGGAGGTTCCCCCCCCCCAAGTATCTGTGGTAGACTGTAGATGGGAGAGCAGGTAGGATCCTTCTATGTCTCCCATCTGGGGCCATAGACGTGTGACTGAGTTGACTTTACATCCTTTTAGTATGGTATAAGGTCAAAGCCTACATTTTACACTTTGCAAGTGGTCTTATTATATGACTGGCACCACTGTTTGAACTGGATGGAAGGGAAAGTAAGGAATTTCAGCAGGCGTTCAACCAGTTGTGGAACTACATAGAAGGGAGTAGTGAAAAAGAGACTGAGAGGAACTTGGTAAGCCCACTTTTGCTGTTATTTCCCTTGTTTGTTTAAGTATAGTGATTTTTTCCCCTTACCCATTGCTTGTCTCATGTTTCTAGGCCTTCTCAGCCACTGTTGGATCGCTCCATCCCAGATTTTACTGCCTTTACCTCAGTAGAAGATTGGCTCAGTGCCATCAAAATGAACCAATACAGAGACAGTTTTCTGACTGCAGGATTCACATCCCTTCAATTAGTTGCACAGATGACATCAGAGTAAGTGGCAAATTTTCATTCTCACTGTAGTCTCTAAAATAAGCCCTGTTCTGGCAATAATTTGTCTATGTGATTAAGTGAGGATGGCACTACAACACCCCTTCCTCCATACCTGAGTTTCACATATTGGCGGGAAAAGTCTGAGAAGGAGCTGTAACCTTATTCAAAGAACTACTAGATAGCTCAGTGGTTTAGGTCTCTGACTTCCGAACCAGACATATTCCCTGACAGGTGCTGAATTTGATGACCCATAGGATCCCTTCCAGTTCTCAAGCTTAA